TCAAACTCTCTCCCATAAGACATATGTTTCATATTGTTAAACATCCTCTTCCCATCATTTTTTCTATTAATGCATCACAAACAAAAAACACAATAAAAAAAACATTAACCAAACAATCTTAAACAAAACTGTATCCATCTCCATCTCATTCACAGTACTTTCTTCCAACTGCTGGGTTCTTTTCAAATGAACCCTGTATAGGCTTCTCTTTTTAAAAAAAAAAAAAAGAAAGTCCATTAGGGAAGTTCTCCTTCTCCTCTGGAGGAGGGCCCTTAAGCAGGTGGCGCGATGGCAAATCCAAACTTTTATTATAAAAATAAAAAGTCACTCTAGTCACCAGATATCTATCCCGACATTTACAAACTATCTTAAACATCTTAAACATCGCAGGAAACTAATTTAACTAAACAATTAAATCCCGACTGACTTTTAACAACTCACTGTATCCATTTTCTTTTTCTTCAATCTTGCGAGGGGATCTCCGCCTGAAACTCTGTAATTTCTCTTAAAAAAAATATTGCTTTTTCAAGGAATGGTCTTTCCCAATGCCAACCCATCTGCCAGTCTTCTGCCAAGTAAACAGTCGCTCGATTTCTTCTTCCAGTGTAGGCGCTGGCAGTATTACTTGAACTTTAAGTCCCCGCTCTGCCATGTCCTTTGTGGCTTCTGCTGCTGAATGGTATAAGCAGGTGCCGTCTTCGTAAAACACCTGTAGCCTTGCTGGAAATGGAGTCTGAAATTTTATTTTCTGTGATTTCAGCACCTTTTTTACTTCAGAATATTCCATATGTTTTTTGAGTACTGTCGGGGGGTAATCATGATCCACATAAAATTGTTTGTTATTATGGAAAAGTTATTTATTTTGCCAAGCTTTACGTAACACTTCCTCTTTCATCTTGTAGCTTAAGAACTTGGCGACAATGGAGCGCAGTTTGGCGTCAGGGCCTCTAAGTCTCGGTGCTAAAGCTCTATGCGCCATTTAAATTCTCAGTTCCACATCCTTCGGTAAATCAAGTTCCCCCCTCAGCAGATTTTCAAGGAATGTGACAATGCAGTGACTCTCCCATTCTTCTGGGATTCCGTAAATCCGAATATTTTCTCTGTGCGATCTTCCTTCATGGTCTGTTAATTTCGTTTCCAAAGTAATTTGTCATTGCAAGATTTTCTTTATCAGAGTTACTGTTGTTAAGAGCCTTGTTTCCACTTCTTCGATCTGTCCCTCTCCCTTATCCAGTCTCTTATTAACCTTGCTCAGCTACTGTTTAATATCTGTAAGCTGCTCTTTATTGTCCCGTTTAAAGTCTCTAAGTTCATATAATATCTTCTGAAGACTGGCATCTGCGCCGTCTTGTTCAGCTTGCTGAGATGCTCCGACTGCAGTCAGAAGTCGCAGTTTCGACATTTTTTCTCCTGCTTCTCCTGACAGCCCCTTCAGCCATAGTTATTATTTTTTCAAATGGAATGTAGAAAAAAAAACTTTTTCAGGGCTTTATTACAAAATTGTTGAGCGGTGGTCCGTATTATGCTGCCATTCCCGTCCACATCCTAGCCGGAAGTCTGTTAATGTGTGAGGTTTGACCGTGCTTTTATCCACCAGCATATACTTTCTTAACTCCCTTTGGAAGTAGAGTGCCGATCTGGAATCGGAAAGTCGGCAAGAGTCGATAGAGAAATGAGACCAGCTTGATACGAAGGAGAGAAATTATTCTTTTTACTGAGAAAGATTTAGTGTCTAAGCAGTATGGCTTTCTGTATGGTTCTTCCACTAACGACACACCAGCCATGTGAGCATTTAATATAGGGTGCTCAATTGGAGACACCCATTTTGTTTAATAAGAAAATGCATTCCTACGAGGCTGTCAGAATATCAAGATCCTCTGGTGGTGAACAGTGGTACCCCAATAAATTGTGAATTTTCACTGCTGTCATACATCCTTCCCCCCAGCTTAAAGCAGTCTACTTTAAGTGGTCAGACAGTGTTTTCGGGACAGGGCATCGGCATTGCCATGAGCAGCTCCTGCCAAATGTTTCACTACAGTACAAACCTATAGGGTTAAAGAGCAAGGAACTACCTTGTCTTTGTTGCTTTTCATCCAGGTGAGAGGATGGAAAGCATGGTCTTTCACAAAAGTAAATTCTCTGCCTAACACTGGGGCTGGAGAGGGTTCAGGAGAGGGTTTAGGATGAAGAGCCTGGGTACAGTGCATATTAACAGTGTGCACTTTAACCAGGCGTAAGTCCCCCTCAATGAACAGGGTTGGCTCAACAGAGCCAACAAAAAGGAGGATTAGAAAGGGGAGATACGAAACAACAAAGGTGGACTGGTTCTGTAGGTGCATTGACACTGAACTAGAAATGGAAAGAAAGGGGAAGAGGGAAAGAGCAGAGCAAACAGCTACTGTTCTGAGCTTCCAAGGAGGGGTAACAACAACAGGAGACTGTCAGGAAAGAACTGACATTTTGGCAGGTGCTGGGAGTGGGTTGATTTCTCTGGAGAGGTTGAGGTTGAAGAGCTGCTTGTTCAAGATAGGGTGAGAAAATTACTCCTGTCCTGGTTTGAAATGGTTTGATTGATAGGGCTGTCAATGTTAAAAAGGCTGTTTAATAAGAACAGATGACGAAGTAGAAAAGTGCAGGAGTGATAAAGTTAAGGCCTAGAAACAAAGTGGAAGAGATTGCCTTTGAATACAATAGAAAAGGGGTATAGAAAAAAAAGATACTTAGGGTGCTCAACCAGAGAAACATTTAGAAATATTTACATGTAAAAGTGTAGAAGTGAAAGAGTACAATTTGACTTCCTCTAAACCTTCTGATTAACAACTTGATCACTGTATGTATTGCCATCTGCCAATGCCTCAGTTAGGTGAATATTGGTGCATTTCATTTCATAAAGGCAGGGGAAATGACAACACAAAAGCCTTCATGCACTCGTTGTGGCATGCTGGCTGCTAGATAGAGAAGTGTCAAACTAGCCTGATGTGCCAATACATCATCTGCAGGTTTCAGTGCAGCCAGGGTGGTACAGTATGCAGCCTCCTGGGCCAATCTATCGCTATGAAAGATTACACAAAATGAGCTAATGCTTGGTTGAAAAGAAAAAAAAACAAAGGAGGAATAATAGGACCAATAAGACACAATTTAATGAAAGCTTTAAAACAACAAAAAAATGAGTATGACCAGTCTGCAAGAGAAGGTGCAGAAAGAGAAGAGGAAGGTTTAATTTAGTTACAAAGA